CGATACTAAAACTGATTGCAGAAATGTGTTTAACTGTCTACAGAAGAGATTTAGATATTGTAACTATTTTGGCAACAAAGTTAAAATATTAAAGATAACAAAGCTCCAAGAATGGATAGATTTCTGAACAAATTTTTTAAATAAACTACAGGTACCTTCCTAGTTAAGCTAACTAATACTTTAATGTGATTTATAACTTGACAAAACATTTGATGGAAGCTTCACAACTGTTATTTTTGTATACACAAAAAGGATAACTAATTGAATCACTGTAGAAGTATGTACATCCCGTGGCATCTCTTTTATTTACTGTGAAGCTTAAATTATCAGAAAAAGTCTCATATGAATTTTTACAATAAAGGCCTGTTCGTCATATAGGGCAAGTACTTGGATTTAATATACAGCAATATGAAAATAGTGATCTTTCTGAAACACTAAATTATATTTTCAAAAGATAGTAAACACCTGTGCCTGGCGATACTTTTATTCGAACCATTTTAGAGGACCTGAGACATAAGTGAAATTATTTCTTTTAACATCCCGATCAGTTTTGGATTACACTTGCTTTGAAGAAGCCGACACATTGACGACGACATATGTTAGAAACTTGTTGGAAAGATCATAATTTATTTTTAAAATTAATGTTATCCTGAAAACTATAATCAAACTTTCATAAAATTTAAAATTTGAATCAATAAAGACTTGGCCTGGTTTGCAACCCTACGGGAACTTTGCAGTAACATTACGCAGAGTGGAATATGGAAAATATAGATAATAGAGCCAAGCGTGATAAACGAAAAGAACTTATTGAAGAAATGAAATTCTATATCGTATTGAAATTCTGAAACCGTATCCAGAGTGATAAATCAAAAATAATGCTTAATTAATAATTTTTTCTGTATGTGTACACATTGTAAAAAGATAATGGAAATTACTATAGTTACGTAATTTTATCGTACAATTAACCAATAAAATTAACTATTTTGTATATTTAAAAAAAAAAAAACAGAAAATTGCTTATTTTAGAAACCCCTAAAAGAGAAACGAGCTGTTCGCAATAATAGTGATTGCGTGATAGTTTCTTAACTCACTATTAATACACACAATTACTGTTTATTTTGTTTATACATAAGGAAGAAAATGTATGCAGACTTCAATATATGGCGTTAAATTAAAACAGAATTAATTAGGAACTTAAGGATATTTTAATATCATATGCAAACAAAATAAATTGGAGTACCTTGTCTCTTCCAGGAATCTGCCAGTTCAAGTGACTTTTCGAGCTCATCCGTACGTTGCTCTTCTTTTTCAAACATAATTTCTAGTTTTGAGCAATGTTGCCATCCAGCCATTACAAGTTCTCTACTAAGACCATGCGGGTTGAGATCATTTAAATATAATCCAATTTGATGAAGTTCATCAAGATTTTCAATAAGCGGACTACAGAGAAATATAAGTGAATCCACATCTTTTAAATAAAACATTTGACCTTTTAATAATATAGATTTTTGGCCTTGAGATATTTTACGCCCACCACTAGGTGTGTTGCCGCCATCCTTCTTTTGCTCAACATCCAAAAAACTTGCTCCTAAATCATGGTTTTTATTCGTTGGCAAATGCGCTTCATTCAATACAATTTCATCATAGTTTTCATTATCAACATCAAATCGACTACGAACTGAACGTAATAACTCAAACTCAAATAATACTGTTCGCATTTGTATGATTGTATCCCAGTCAATTGAAGTTCCCTTAGGACGGCGACATAAAAATAGATCCAGAATATGTGACCCAATAAATGTTTTGGCGTTTTTATTTGGATTATGCAATATCCAAGTTTCTACAATTTTTTCGCCAGCGTGTGTAATTTTCATGTCATGATTCAATACAACAGTAAAAGGGAATAAATCTAGAAAGACATCCATATTTATAGCTGGTAATCTAAGTTGGGAGGGATGAACAATAACATTAACACGATTGGCCATATAATCATGGTTATCGAAGTCTAAACGATATTTAACTATAACAGTGAGAGGTTGATCAGATAAATGTATAGGACCAGTAGTTCCACCACATATATCGTTCTGGCTTTCAATTACATAAGCTTTGATATCCAAATTATAAAACTCCTTAGCCACTTCAACAAATTGCCCAATTAAATATTTGGAGAAGCCAGTGCGTCCGCTTCTATATAAAATAACTGCACCATCATTGTCCATATGCGTTAACTGCATGCTGGGACTTTTCATTTTCGGGTATGTGAACCGCATTTGAAGATGTATATTATCAATAGATTGTAAGAAATCACAAAAGTAGCGACCAGTCGAACGTATCATCTTGTCGTAGCCAAAGTTACTAAAGAAACGCACAAAACAACGTCCAAAGAAATTCATAAAAAAATCAAATGATTTTCCAGTACAAGCAGCAGCGGCTGCAGCAATATCGGGCATCAACTTATCCGGATAGATCTGATGGGTCTTAAAAGTTTGATGCTTACAATCCACAATTTTGCAAATCTCTTTCCAAATATTATTGCCATATTCCGCCTGTATATAATACTGCACGCTTTCTAACACCATCCCATACATTTTTACGACACAAAGGAGCAAAAATTTGTCAAGGGTTTGGATGTGCAAACAATTATTTTAACGGTATTTGTGCGTGATTAATGTGGCTGCCAAGTTGTTGTTGCTGTTTTTACTGTTGTTGTTTAATGTTGACTTTCGGCGCGCGTGTGCTTTTGATTTATTGACTTCGTGCGTTATTAATGCGTTGTTATGGCAGTGGTCTGAGGTAGATTAAGAGTAGGATGAGTAGGAATCCGCCCGTTGTGGGTAGCTGCTTAAAGTTAACTGATGCTGTGCAGCAGCTGTAAGTCTTTTGTTTGTTTTTACTTTACATTTAAAGTATTTGTACTTAATGTGATAAGTTAGCGTATTTATGATACAATCACAATAAAAATATGTTATGTGCGCTTTAGGACATTACTTTCAATATTTAAAGCTATTTTTATAGGTATTATTTTTTATGAATAATAAGTTATTTCTTATTTTGCTTTTATTTAATTTGTTTTTTGTTTTTTTAATTTTATACAAATATTATACACTAAAAGAAGAATTATTAACTTTCAATAAATTCAAATTCAGCAATATTGTTCTTTAGAGTATTAAATACACAAATCTTTTTTTTTATTATTTTTAAATTATTAAAGTAAATTTTTACTAAATATTTAATTAATTTGTAATTTATTTAGTTTAACAGTTTTAAAACATTTTTCGTATTTATTAGTATTTTTATTATTTTGTACTTTTACATAATTTTTATGAAATTTATTTTAAATAAATAATTTTTTACACAAAATTTACAAAATTTTAAAATATTATTTTTAGAAAATATTGACTCCACTTAACTTAGTTACGTGTGTTGCAGCTTCAAATGTGATTTTTGCTACTGAAGCTGTTTTTGGCAAATTTTGACGCTCCACTAAATCATACAAATTGAGTGAGAAGTTTGGTTTTTTAGTATCTCCGCTGCTGTTTTATGCGCAAGTTTATTTTATTTTTTTAATAAAATTATATTTATTCTTTGCTTTACGCTCACCAAATGATACGATGGAAATGTTGTGCGTGACTTTTATAGGTTCCCAGTCACCCATCAAACTTTGATAATCGAATTGCGTGAATTCTCCTGTGAATTATGTATATTTAAGTAAATATCCCGCGTTTATTATATACTAAATGTACATATTACGCACAAATACGTAAGTTATATCCTGCCATGGGCGCACATATGAAGTGCAAACACCAGTTGCCACTGAAATATAATACCAAGTGAAGGAATAAATAAAATTAAGACCGAGTTTACAATTTGTTGCAGAAATACAGAAATACAATTTTTTATAAATTCAAACAAAAATAATTATATTTAGTAACTTAAATAATACAAATAAAAGACAAAAAAATGTTTTTTTTCTTATTTTTCTTCTTATATTAACTAAACTCCAAGAATCAGTCGGCCTGAAATGTTGAGAAGATTACATGCTTCTTCGTTTACATGCTTCTTTAGCTTTAGCATTTATTACTTACTTGTGTCCTAATTTTTTCTTTAATTGTCACAATATTAAGGTCACGATCAAAGAATGCCTATGTATTCTTTAGTCACGATGTATATTAGGGTTTTTAATGTACCATGACTGTTTTATGATACCTTATAGAAATTTATTTTATAAGCTTTGAATTAAAAAATCCTTTTTTACTTTTTACTGGCGCATCCCCATAACGCATCCATAACGTCAGACCGGTTTTAAGACTGATTATATAGGAGGATCTTGCTATATATAGATATCCATCCATCCATTTTGCTTAATTTATAATTTAGTATCGGTTTTTTATTTTTACATGCTCTTTCTATTCTTGTTTTGCCTGAAGAGTTATATCTAGATATTTGGCTGGGTTAGCATAGGAAAGTTCATCGATTATCATTTTATTAAGACGTTTTTCGCTCTTTTGTCAACTGCGACAATTGCTGTGTCATCAGCATATGAACTAACATATTGATTATTGTTGTAGGTAAATCGCGAACATACAATATATGTATAAAGCAATGGTTCTAGAATACTTTTATGCAGAATAGCAGCAGATTAGAATATTTGTTTTTTGTTTTACTCTAAATGGTTTAGAGGAATAGAGGATTTTAATTTCATGAAGGATAACCTTCATACCTCACCTTAAACTAAAAAGTTACATCCAGTTATTTTTCATTTTCATTTGACGAGAAAGTGTGAGATAAGTTTTTTGCAAAAACCATACCTTTATCTATCGATTCTTATCCAGGAATTATTGTTTGAATTTGGTGGTGTTTGATTAGTAGGTCTATTTTATATTTTATACTTTTCGAAAAAGAATAACTTACAGTTCAATTCCTGAAACTTGCAGATCAAAAATTATATATAATTAAACTAATATATGTTTCCAAAGGACACTGATGATGCATATTTGATCATTGATACAAATTTCCTCAGTACGACCTCGTTGTTTCAATAATTTTTGTGAACTAGTTTTAAAAATAAAATATTGAACAAAATGCTGTTAAATCTGTAATACTGTTTCTATTTACAAAAATAATTTTTTTTAAGTATTTATGAATATGTACTGTGCTAGATCGTAACGGTATTATAGGTGTATAAGCAGGAAAAGCGTTCTGTTAAGGATATAACTGCTTTTAGTTTAATTGATTTTACGCTCTTTCTACACTCGATTCGAAAAAAAAGAAAGATTTCTTGAAATAAGAAACAATTTTTAAACAAAAAATTAATAAAATAATAAAATAAAATCTGCAGAATAGCAGAAACTTTTTAATAACTCATTTATAAGCTATTATGGCTTCTATTGTGTTGGGTGTTTTTTTTTTTTGTCTTCCGGTTTATTAGTTATTGTTGTTCCTTCTATACAACTTCAAAGAAACACCTTTATGAGCAGCGGTGGGCATGGAAATTTATCTAGAGTCAAACAACAATATTCAAAATTTGCATCAAAATTTGCCAATGGTGCAATATTATTTAAATTTTATTATTTGTGTAATTTGTTCGCAGTGATCTATTTAGGGGAAGTTGGGGTCAAGAGAAGAGATGTCTTTTGATACTATAAACTACACATTTCTGATATATTTCAGTTTTTACATTTGAACTTCAATATTGCATTGACTATAGATTTCAATAAACGGTATAAAATGATATATCTAAAAACTACTTTGAACTGAAGTTGCGGAAGTAAAATTTAACAAAATCACAATGGTCGACTAGTAGTTAGAGAAAATAAATTTTGTAAAGTAAAATAAGTGAAAATTGTAGACAAGTTTAAATATATCATGAACTATTAGCGTTTAACGGGCATAGTTTTCTTAAAAAAGTCTGTATATGGAATTTAGTATCAATTTAGTAAAAAGTCATATCTAACGCTTAATCTACTTATAGATGTAGGTTTATGACATATAAGAAAAATTCTGTTTAGATATAATACACAATATTTCCTCACCATCTTAGCAGAAAATATAGAAAAATATACTGCTACAATCCTATGACGGTGACCAATTCTGGCAGGTAGCCAGAATTTTGTAGGACTGAGGTACATTTGAACTTAAATTATTACAATTATGTGAAACCCCTCGAAAGTAAATTTCGAACTACGGACTTCTTGTAATTGCTATTAAAAAGTTATATGCATGTTACAGAAATTATTGTATTTATCAGAAAAATTCTTACACAAACAAAATAAAAATAACTATACGAGAACATTTGTTTTTAATTCGTTGTACTTAAAAAAAACAATTGTTATATAAACTATCGGTTTGATTCCTTCATTTAATATTATATACTTTTGGAGATAATGGTAATAAATATTTGCAATATAAACAAGAAGTAAATAAAATATTTTATCGATGCAAAAATAACTTTTTTCATTTCTATACCAAAATTAAGTAATTAACTTAGGAAAACCTTAATTTGCATTAGTTTAATAGTTTCTTGTTGGTTACAAATGCCATTAAGTTTTAGGTATACGAAAAACAAATTAATACTGTAATCGTGACAAACACTTAATTACAAAAAGATAAGGGTTGACAGTGGATAAGCCTTTTCAATTAGGGCATTTAATGAAATAATTGGTGCGCAGGGCAAAATATACTGTCTTGATAATCTTAGACACGAACGTGGTTGTTTTTATATTAAACATTGTGTTGCCCAACTATAATCTTTAATGTAATGAGTCCCACGCAAAATAATCATACATCATATTTGAAACCTTATACATTGCCAATAATAACTAAACACCAAATACAAAATTCAGTAATTGAAGTAAATAGTAAAAATATTGTTTTTAATACCAAAAACTGCTCAATAAATAAATTATTTTTTAATATACATCGCAGTTTTATTTTGCAAATAAATTTTATTAAAATAATAATTATGGTTGAAACGTCTCTTTTCAAATAGGACAAAATATATAAGAGAAATATGTATCCTCACATAATATTAAAAAATGTATTTAAATTTTATTCAATGTATTTAACTTTTCACATTCTTTAAGAGTAATGCTGTTTTCATTTCATTTTTATACATTATTTACTTTCACGTACTTTATTGAATAATTCGTCTTTGGCTACTTGTGACATTAAGCCATGTAGAAGTTCAATTGTTGCGCGACTACAATCACGCGTTGCTTTAGTAAGCTTGTCTTCAGTTCGTTTATCGTTGATATCACTGCCTAAAGTATACACAGTTTATTTATTTAAATAACAAAATTTAAAATGAAATATTAATTTTTTATACCTGAACATACAAATGGCCCGCGTGTTAAACTAGATTCACTTTGTTCTAATTTCTCAGAAAAATCCAATATTTGACCAGTAGTATAATCTTTATTAGTAAGCAATCCTGAGCTGCCTAAAGTATTTACCCAATATTTATTCCAAAGCGAGTCTAAAAGTTTTTTATCTAAAGATGACTTAAAATAACTGACTTCAAGTGGATAATATTGTTTACAATGAACCCCAAAATCTTCAATTTTGTTTAGAGGAATAGTTTGATATTCAGATGGTTCTTCATTAGGTGGATTATATCCTTTTGGATATGTACGAAAAGCACCCAAGCAAACTTTCCCCGATGAAACTGTACGAACAGGATCCACGACAATGGCCACAAATGGTTCTTGAAAGTTTTGGTTTAACATTTGTGTAGAAACATCAATACCTGAAAGCCAACAGCCATATCCAGGATGGCTATGATACCAACCAATAGCGTTCTCAAGTCGTCCTACCTCTTTAGCGGAGTCTATATATGCCGCCATGTATTCGTATGCATCTGATTGTGCATTTACACGCGTTTCTGTGCCTTGTACCGGTAAAGCAAATGCATCCATAACAATCATTACGTTATCCTCAACTTTTCCTAATAATAAGCCCATTACTTCAAGAGGGCCACCGGAGCGGGCATGCATAACCATTTTGAGCAATGACAAAGCCGAAATCCTTATGTCTTTGAAATAATGTGGATCTTTTTCCCAAGGCTTTGCATCCAACACTTGACGTTGTTGTTCTGCGTCATATCGAAAAATTTCGTCGCAGGCTGGTAGAGTTTTTATATTATTCTCCAACTCCCAAGTTTTACGCGCTGTCTCCGCATCCATTTTTGACTAATTATTTATTTTGTTTGGTGTAAGGAAAAACTTTAAGCGATAATGCGTTCGTTCTTTTTAATAAACACAGTGAAAAAATTAAAAATAATACACCGATCAGCTTTTACAAATAAACTTTATGAAATGTAAATCAATAATCCGATATATATTTTTAAATATTTCTATAGAAAAAATTGTTTGCTTAACACTAAATAAATTTTAATATTTAATCGAATACTATTCCCTTACTTGACGTTGTCATGTAGTTTATCACATAAGGGTTGCCAACATCTGTCATTGCGTATACTAATTCATATACACATAGAAAATTCTTTTGGGTCCAACCGCCGAAACCTTCATAAATTACAAATTGTGTTATGTTCAGAACACAAATTGTTTTTGCAAATTGTCACAAATAGATTTTTTTACTGCCGATAAAAGTATTGAATGCATGTGTTATTATCGCAATGCGTTCAATTCTCCAGTTCTTGCTTTTTTAATGATTAAAATGAAAAAAATAACTACTTATATTTCTTATTAAAGTTTGTTTAGCATTGCTTAGTATGTTTACATTTCATCAGCCTGATTAAGAAAAGTTCAAGTATCTACATTCCAACTTTCAAGAAAATAAACTTAAATAATAAAGAAATAAAAGAAAAAACGAAGGGCAATTTGAGTTTTTTTTTAAAAAGTGCTTTTCAATATGATTCACCTAAAAATTTTTTTATTGGTTATAGTACATGCACACTGTCTTTTTTAGACACTTGATCATTTATATTAACGAGGAACGTTCACATTATGATGAGCTTATATATGCAGCTCATAAAACTTTTATATGAAATAAATAAACTTCACTTAATAAAGTGAAATTAAATTAAATATATAATTGATATATCAAGGCCGTGTGCGAGTTTATGTAAATTGATGGTAAATTGAGGGAAATAGTAAATTATGTAGGTGTGGCAGTGAATGTCGGTATTTGCCAGAATTTCGAGTAGGGTAAATTAGATAAAAATTAAGTAAATTAGATGTTATCATTTTGAAAATTTTAAAAGGTTTAATAAATAAATAAATAAATTTGAAAACTTTTAACCAAAAATAATAAATAAGTTCAATAAATAAATAATTAAATATTTACATAAGTGCAGTGCAAAAAATCCCTATGAAATTTCAATTTATTTTATCTCAATATACTCGAACTCGCACACGGCCAAAATCATTTATGTGCATTTTATATATCAATTACATATTCAATTAATAACAACAAAGATTTTATTAAACACTTACTTCTTCAGTGTTCTTATTTACAGTTAAGATATTGTTTGTTTACATTTTACATATAAAACATATGACACATATTTGAAATTTCGATCATTTCCGTTGTGGGAAATTTATTTTAATGGTTGCAATATTTTTGGCCATAAATGATAATTTGTTGATATAATTTGTTGTTGTAGTTAATTTATTTTATTTACTTTATTTATTTAAATATTACAAATTATTTTGTTTAGGACTTCTTTCAATAATAATGGCGGGAGACGCGACCGTTGGAACTCTATTTTTCTTTTTGACAGTTTTTTATAATAATCTTTTTGGTGTTGCCATAGTACTTTCCATTAAGTGGCGAAGTCACTGAATTTAGTTGAAAAACGAACGTTGCGCCCTGATCTTGTCAGGTCAGCTGTTGTATTTGGTCGTAAAGACTGGTCGCAATTTACGTTGCTTGGAGTGGGGCATAACATTGATTTGTTGTCTGTATCTATGTCTGTATCGGGACACATGAAAGCCGCTTTAAGGCGATCTATGCTAATTGTTTGTTCTTTGTTTTCGATCAGTATTTTAAACGTCTTCTCATTCCGCTCTAGTATTTGGTAAGGGACGTCGTAAGGTTGCTTCAGTGGTGGTTTTAGAGCCGGTTGTATGTGGTAACAGAACTTGACGTTCTGTATTTGTTCTCTTAGCTTGGTTATGAAATCGTGTTGATTTGTATTTTTGTGGCTAAGGTTGCTTACTATTTCCGAATGCTGGGGTGAGATAACCCATGAATAGCTTTAAAGATATGTAGTCGGTATTTCTGTGGAATGTAAGGACGAATCACCCAGTTGAAACTTCGCAATAAATTTTGTCTGGACAACATCGTTGTAATCCAATTATACAATCGTAATCGATTTCTGGGATGCTAATACTATCTATTCGTGTGTCTGAATAATAATATGTCGTTTTTCTTGTTTCCTTTTATCTTTTGTTTAAGTGCAGTTTGAGAGTCTGCTGCGTTAAGTATGAACCTGCGATAAAAGTTAAGAAATGCTAGAAATCATCTTAATTCTTTCGTTTTTGTTGGAAGCGGGTACTCGATGATGCTCTTCACTCGATCAGGTAGAGGATGAATGCCCTTTTCACTGATGATATAACCAAGAAATTTTACTGTGTTTTGAGCAAAAACGCATTTTGATACGTTTATTATTAAATCATGTTTTCTGAATCTTTCAAATATTTGTTGCAAGTGTTGCCTGTGCTCTTCTTCATTTTATGATGCAATAATGACGTCGTCAATATAGGCAAATGCGAATTTGGGATCTCGTATTATTTCGTGAATGAAGCGTTGAACTCCAACTTCCGTCTGGTTTTTTTACCATATGAAAGGGGCTAGCCCAATTGCTACTTGATGGACGACATATTCCAGCTGTGACTAAGTTTTGGAATTCTTCTTTCGCTGCTGCTAGCTTGTCTGTAGGTAGTCTACGTGGTCTCTCACATATTGGTAGTCCTTTTGTTAATATGTGATGAGTGACTTTGTTCACGTGGCGATTTGTAGGTGTTGGTTTGTTAATATCGATATATTTTTTTAGTAGATCTGCAATTTTGCAAGATGTGTTTACGGTTGATATGATTTAAAAAAATCAGCGCCGATGATTGAAGTATTTACATCTGCAATAATAAATGGCCATGCGAAATTTCTTCGTAAGCTAAGAGCTAGAGTTAGCTCTATTTCACCAAATGTTTTGATCGTAGAACTATTTGCTGCGTAGAGTATTCTATCGTTATTAATGTTTGTATTTGAATTTTTTTTGTTTGGCGGCAATAAGTGAAACATCTGCACCCGTGTCGATTAGGAATTATTTTTTTGTCTTATTGTCGTAAACGAACAGTCTTGTAGATGTTTCGTTTACAACTTCCTCTGCCCCCGTAGACGAAGTCGGTTTTAGTTTTTTGTGCCATATGCGCATGGCTGCTTGCAATTTTTTCCACTTAACCCATATGTTTTATGATACCAACAATTTGTACTGCTCTTTTCTTCGCTATCATCATGACATTGCGTTGATTTTTTCTTGAGCGGTGTTCGGTTAATAATTCTGGTCTGGTCAGTTTTCGTTGAAGCTGTTCAATTTGCGCATCACGTTGAATATGAGCTGCTGTAGGGGCGTCAGCTGCATTGACATAAGTTACTTGCATTGTTGAATTTATACGGATTGTTTCGGTAATGTTGTCTGACAATTCTGCCATCTTAGGTAGTTCTACTTGAATTGTGGCTAGACATGTCTGTACTTCTACAGGAAGACGTTGTAACCATAACCCTTTCAGTAATTGTTCGTCTTGTTTGTTTCCACTAATGCGTTGTTGTTCGTTTAATAGATGAGATGGCTTTTTATCTCCAAGCTGTAAACCACTAACTAATTTTTGTATGCGTTTTTGTTCACTATCCGCAAAGTTTTTTATTATTGCTTGCTTGATAGCCAAACTTTTGAGTGTCGCCCTTTATGTGGTTGACTAGAAACCCGTAGTCCAACTGTATAAACCAAAGATCAATGTTGTTCCTTATTAATGACTGGGGTAGTATCTTCGGTAACTTTTTGATTTTGTGTAGCCATTTTTATGTTCAGCGTCGGTTTGGTCACCAATCTAGTGGTTGTTGTGGTTACTTTATTTTATCTTTTTTATTTATTTAAATATTACAAATTATTTTTTATAATAATCTTTTTGGTGTTGCCACAAGCTCATTTATATGAACGATTTTTGTATGATAAATCATCTTCATTAGTAGTCATAATGATCAAAAGCGTCTATATGAGGCAGTGTGAATATACTATAAGTTTTCTCTTACATTCTGCTGTATTTATTTTAAATAAAAATACTGATGAATTGGTTTTGTACGATACTCTGTGAACGATAAATTTCTGATAGGAAATTTCTGTTATTAATTTAAAATAGAGTGAAAAATAATCCACCAAAGCTAATAAAACTACTGAATGTGTTTTGAATATGCAATTTTTAAAATTCGATTTGTATATAAAAAATAAGATTTCTAATGTTAATTTTTTCTTTCCGAGCGTGACGCGTTTTTATGACGAAAAGAAACTATTTAAAAGTTAGACGGATCGAATAGCAAAGAAAAAACAAGGACAAATATTTTTTCAATTTGGCTGACCATACAATGCTGTTTCGAGTATTGTCAAGTACTCATAATCAGTGGTCTTAGGAAATATTTGAATTTCTAAATTAGTTCATAGTCCGTATATTACTTGTTTGAACTGCAAGTAACAGGCTTAGAACTCGTTCCTGCCAAACTAGAAGCGGTGACTAACGGTGTTTTCCACAAGTAACCAAGGGTGCACAAGTTCAATGAATTGAAAGTTACCAAAAAAAGGCGCTATTTTACAAAGAAGACTTCTTTAATTTGGGACAATATGAACAGTTACTAAACTAAATTTTATTAGAACGATATTAAGAAAGTACGACGTTTTATAATGAATTATGTACATAAATATGTATGTATATTTTTGCAATATGTGTGTGTTGATTATATTTTTTCACTAGAGGAATATAGTTTTTTTTTCGAAACTCTTCATTTTGTTTTTAGTGGTATAATTTTAAGAAAAAATCAAGATCACAATTGCATTACAGTTCATAAAAATTTTTTTATTTTATGTAAAAGTAAAATTACATTCTAAAAAATTTTTCGAAAACCAATGTGTTGTTTTAAATTAAAATAAAATTCATTTAATGTTCGGAAAAAACTAATAAAATTTTACTGCTTATTAATGGAGTTTTGTTGTGTTTATTAATAAAATATTTTATATATGTAGTTTACTGTCTGTTCTTTGTACTCAGACATTTGCAATGCAACACTGTAGTATTTAAAAACCTACCAAGCACAAATTCAAATATTTTAAACGCTCTAAACGTCAAAACTGAAAAAAAAGCGGAAGAGAAAAAGTATATTCGGTAAGCGTCTGCTTGGTTTATATAGACAATTTGAAGCAAAAACTTTTTCTAGTATTAAAAACTAACAGTAGAAAATTTTATTTAACGTGTAAATTCTGTATATTTAACAATTGGTCAAATCTTTACGTTTGAATAAAAGTAAAAAGCGGCATTTAGATATATAATGTGAATACAGTAATCATGGTTTATGAAGCTAAATTGATACGCCTGGATAAAAGTGGCGAAAAAGTTGAAGAATATATTATAAATAAAAAAGAATTTACATTTGGTAAATTTCCGTTTTGCGATGTTTCTATAGACGATCCAAGAGTAGAGCGCGTCCATTGTAAATTAGTAATAGACGCATGGGATCGGGTAGGTATATTAATAATCCTTGAAGGATAAATTTTAATATTTTACCTTCAGGTTAATATAATTAATTGTTCAAATGAGCATCCTATAAAAATCAACAATGTATCAATTGAAGTGAAGAGACCTCTCCTACATAAACATGTTTTAGATGTACTTGAAAACAAATTTATTTTTGAATGTAAGCGCAGTGATAGTGAAAACAATTTTACAACACCTCAAAAGTCTGCTAATGCTGATAGGGCACCAAATTCGTGTCCTGATTTAAGGGTAAATATTTTAAACGGTTTTATTCTGAAATTTTCAACATAACTCATTTATATTTACAGTTTTCTCATCATTACCCACGACGGTTTACTGTTCACAGGTGAGTGCTAAATTTCTGATAAGTATAAAAGTATAATAGAAATTTTAACTAGTCGCTTAGTTTTACTAACAATATTGTTATCATATTTTGACAATACGATATATAATTAATAACAAAAATATTTTTATATAAATAGTTTTTTTTATTCCACGTATACTGGTGATGATATCGAGAAAAAGGATACTAATAATGAAAATATATCTCAAATTAATTCCTTAACCGAGGTGAACGAAATAGAAAAGGACAAAAAATGTAATGTTGATGATATAACTGATAGCACATGTAATTTGTCTGGTTTAAATTTACATAATGATATCGCAAAAATAATGGTTATTGATTCTACACCAGACAAAAAATGTGAAATATTAAAACAAAATATTTGTTTAAATTACTCAGACATGAAGATCACATCATTCTCTCCACGCATTGCTGGAGTACAAATAGAGAAATCCTTTGTAGATTTCATATCATGCACTCCAAAAAGTACGTACAGCACACCTAAAGGCGTTATGCCAAAGATGTACAAAGCTAATCAAAGTTTGAAATATGTGACTCCGAATACTTCTAAAAAAAGGTATTTACAAGAAGCACCAAATTCACCTATGTATTTAGTAGATTTCACAACTCCTATTAAATTCGCACCAAAATCTCCGATTCCTAATTTATTGATTAAATCTTGTAATAAAAAAGAAACATCTAAATTAGAAATGCCTAGCTGTAGTAAGCCATCTAGTACGCCAATATATCGAAAGAGTGTATCATTAGATACTCCAATAAGTGTGGAATCTAGTGCTTCGTCAATTATAGAGATAGATGATGATTCTGATGCTATTATAAATAGTGCTAGTAAAACTCCAACCAAACGTTTTACTGCTAAACTAACAACACCCAAACGCTCTTCGCCATCATTAATGAAGCGTATATTATTAAAAAGCACACAAAAATCTAAAGCAGGTTCTATTTTGTCAAGAACTCCTACTACCCCAAAATTACATAAATCGATTACACCTCGTCGCCTTGCACAAAATAGCCGACAATATGAAGTTATGAGAGATAATTCACTTTCTTTAATGTCTGAAGAACAATTACAGAAAACAACACCTCATATTTTACAGAAATTAAGTGGAACTAAAGAATCTGACTTTGATTTAAAGAATAAAAATAATTTAACAATTGATTGTAATAATGGTAGCTCTAAAACTGATTCGATTGATTCGAATATAGTATCAGAGAATTTTGGTGAAACTGTTGAAACTTCTGTTAAGAATTTAAATGAAACTTTCGACTTAAGTGCAAAAGACAACATAATGACAGAAAAAAAAATTGAAAACGATGTAGAAAACGATATATGTTTGACGAAAGAAAACAAACACTCAAATAGTAAAATGGAATTTCTGTTTGACGAAGAATGCTTTAACGAAACTCAAAAATTACAGACTAGTAAAGATAACATAGTTAGTAAAGATAATATAGATTGTAAGGAAGTAAACACCAGTGAAAATAATCGAAATGATCCATTAAATAAACGGCGCATTGAAAGAAGAGTATCTATGCCTACAGAACTTGCATCAAAGTGTACAATTCAGTTTAGAAGAACTTCATTGAAATCAGAAAGTTTAAATAAAACTCCCATACGTATAAGGTCGTTTAAAGCCTTGGATACTGAATTAAAAGATCAATACGTAGAAGAGAGTATGGGCGCAATTGTTGAAGATTCATATACTGAAGAAACAATTATTAAAGATAGTAAGTGTAAGATTTGATTTTTATAAAATTGTATAAATATTAGGGTAATACTTTTCTAATTAAATGTTTGAATTACAAAATTTTTTTTCAATTTAAAGGTGCAAGTTCAGTTACAGTAAAAAATGCAAGCATTGGTATGAAAAGTGAAATCTCTAATATAGAAGGTAAAACAAAAATTTGTAAATTGTAGTTCGTTTTAAATTTATTTAATTTATTTGATATATTCGTAGAACTCAAATCTATGTTTGATAATAGACAAAATGAACGCATTTATGAAGTTTTGGATGATTCTGAATATAACTATGGTAAAGAAGTATTAAAATGTAAGTATGTAATTGTGATTATATATGCACAATATTACTTTACACATTTGTAGGTGAAGATGATGTAAGTGAAACGGAATTTGAAGGTGTACAAGAATTACTCGCTACGCCAAGAATAAGCAGTACACCAATTCCAAAGAATAATAAAACTGATGAAACATCCCAAGTTCTTTTAAATTCTCCAACTGTAGATGTTTTTAAAACACCACGAGGTAAAAATTTGATGATGACCGTCACTCCTTCCAGTGAAATGATTAAGCAAAGCTTTGCTTCAAAAGAATTTTTAAATTGTACTGAATATAATCTTAATGATAGCAATGACAAATTAGAAAAACTATTCGAAAGTCCAGTGGCATTAAAATTTAATAATCAAGATCTTACGGAAAAATCGCAAAATATGTCGACAAATCAGCAGGTTTCAGAATACAGTACACCAGTTAGTAATTCTAAGCTAGATAAAATCGAAGAATCACCATTTTCTTCTACAGACATTATCACTGATTTGCCTGAAATTGAAGTCCAAAATTGGATTAAAAAAATTGAAGTTTCAAATTTGGATGAGGAACTTATCGATGATGCGTCTAGACTTCACAAAAGAAATGTAAGCCTAAAATCATCTATTGAGCATAGTTTATCAATTGATCCACTGCATTTATCTGTAAATAAAAGTGGTAACACGATGAAAACTACTGAAATTAGTGATCCTTTAAGTCTGTCAGTGGCAGAAGAACAAAATTTAGATTTGCTGACTTTAGATGAAAGATCAATGACACCTATAGAATCAGAAATGAGTGGTATTCATCTTTTAGATGAAAGTGAAGATTCTTTTTCATTAAAGGTTAGCGATACAGAATCTGAATTGCCAATATCACAAAATTCGAAAATGAATAAAATAGAGGAATTAAAATCGAATGAAACATTTGAAGCTTTGGTTTTAAGCGATACAGACAGCGACTTAGCTGATATAGATAATGAAGACGAATACCTTAATTTGAAAAAGTCAAATTTTACCACCTCTGCAGTAAAAAAAGTTCTAACCAAAAAAACAGATACTGAAAAACATCTTGAATCACCAAAAACATCCGGTTTTGCAGTTGACATTAAGAGTAGTGAACAATCAAAAATTTCCTATGAGTACAATGATATGAGTTTGATGGCAAATGAAGATTTAGAAAATAAAACGAAAAAAATCAATGCATCAATAGATATAAAAACCATTAAGGTGCCGCTTAATATGGAGGACGATATGAAATCTTCTCTGCAATTAGGAGTTAATAGTGATAACACATCTTTTACGTCCCTCTTGGACGCAGAAATTATAGTTGAATCCAACATTCAAAGTGAAGATTATACATTAGATGCGTCGAAATCTAAAGACGCAATGTCTTCACAATACCTAGATAATAGAAGTCAAGTAGATTCGACAGTCCAGTCTAGTAATGGAAGTGAAGACGCTATTACATTAAGTCTTTCAGAGGTCAAAGATAGATTCAATAATAGTCAAGTTTCTCCTAAAGTTGTATTGGAAAAGACAGTTGAATCAAACATTGCTGCTGAAAATGTTAAATTGGATGTTTCTATTTGCAGTGATAAATTTATTCCACAATCTGAAGAAAATATGTCGCTAAAATCCGTGTTGGAAAAAACAGTTGACTCCAACATTGCAAATAAAGAATTATTCAAAGAATTTGATTTAACTGAGTCATATGACAAGTCTACACTAAAATACCAAGATAATAGACATCAAAAGTCTTCTAAGTTTGTGATAGAATCCAATATTGAAACTGACAATGAAATTATTTTAAATGAATGTGATAATAATAAATCTATTCTAAAATCACAAGATAACACTATTGAAAAGCCAACTGAATTTGTGGCGGAAAACATAGTCAAATCAAATATGAGAATCGAAAATGCTGGTGTAACAGATATATCTAAGTCTGATAAATCTACTTTACAATCCCAAGGAAATAATGACACTACGTCTACTAAATTTGTAATGGAAAAGTCAATTGAATCCGTTATTGAAAGTAAAGAGGCAAATATATCAGAATTATCTGATTCTGATGATAAATTTATTTCACAATCAGAAGTCAATGATAAAATCTCTTCTAAACTTGTCCTGGAGAATATAGTTGAATCAGATATCGAAACAAGAGATATCATTGGGGTAGATGTATCTTTTCTACAATCTCAAGATATTGATAATGAAAGTTCTTCTAAATGTTTTTTGCAAAAAACGGCTGAATCTAATATTAAAATAAACGATGTTACTTCAACAGATCCAGAATCCCTACGAAGAGGAAATGAAATGGCTTCAAAATATGTCTTGGAAAAAACAATGGACTTCAATATTGAAAGAAAAGATGCAAATGCATCAAATGTATCTAAGTCTAATGAGGAAAATGACATACAATCTAAAGATAATAGTTATGAAACGTGTTCTAAAATTACATTGGATATTAAAACTGAATCTATTATTAAAGAAAATGATGGAACGTCGGAT